AACGTGCTGGTACCCAGATTTGTTGGCTTGCCATATAAAATTCAGACAATTTTTTAAAACATCCGAATAAGAATCAGAATGTGCAAACCCATTTGCATTATTTGATAGAAATCTCTGCTTTGAGCTTCTTCTTTCAGCAGAAACAAATATTGAAGCCAACAGAAAGCTCCATACAACTGTAAGCAAAGGTCTGAAAGCCCTCCATTTTTCTTGATTCCCAGCCATTATTAGCCCAAAATTCTCTTCCAGTAAAATATCGTCTCTAATTTACGTAAAATTCCAGATTTTTATTGGGTGGAAAAGGCAAAATGCAGGTGGGAATTCTTTTGCTCAAAGTGGGTGCATGAGAAAACTTGCAAGAAGAAGAAAAAATGAAAGAGAAATCTACGGACAGGAAATAGTTTTTGGTAGCTTAAAGAGTGAGAGAAAACGAAAGCTGAAAGGTGGCACGAATAGAAAATGAATGAATACATACAGGTTCTTACCTGTATCAATATGAAACAACAGGGTTTTGTTTCTCAATCTTGACTTTTTTAAAAGGTTGAACCTCAATGAGGACTCCCAACATCCCACTCCTAAAGTATCGTGAGAGAGGTAAATTATAAGTTGTGCCCCAATAGGTTAAGGAAAAAAAGTTTGTTCGTACACTGGTGTCCACAAAGAGTGCAATTCCACATCTCAATAATCGAACCCTCACACTGCGACTATTAGTAAGGTTGAGACTACCTCACTCCTGTTATTTGCACCACTGGATTATGCCCCGAGGGTGAAATCTTGATTTCTTTTAGCCCACCAAACGGTGGAAACTATTAGAATTTAGAAATTTTCTTGATATTCCATTAGCGTAAAATATATTACAAATTACTCAATTTTAATCAAGCTATTCAATTTCAATTTGATACAAATTTCACTACTCCATTCACTTTGATTGCAAATAATAATGTATGAATTGGCAAATATGTTAGTTATTAACGTTGATCATGGGTACGCTAGTTCAACAAATTGCCATGTCATTAAAGAAAAAAATTATAAATAAAAACACGACTTGAAAGTTGATTCGAGTGATTGGTGTGAGAAAACAATATGAACTTGAATTGTAGTTAATTTATGCTATTATCGAATATTTATGGTCTGCGTTAGTTCAAATTAATGTTGTAATGACATTAATTGGTGAATGTCTTGGTCAACAAATGTTCATTAATATATTGTGGAGTATAAGAAACTTAAACTTAATAGACTTGACTAACTCGGAAGAATCTTTCAAATTATAGTTATTTTATGGATGAAGTGCAAAACGTACTAAAATATTTTGCCCAAATTTGTAAGAAAGCTTCACGTGCTTTCTTTGGTGTCATGAATTTAGGGTCCATTTCGTAAGGTTTTTGAAAAGTTAAGCTGATTCAAAGATTAAGAAATTGTTCTTAAACATGTTTAGATATTTTTTTTAAAGTATTTTATTGGGTTAGAAAATTTTTTAAATAAAGCCCTTCCGTACAAAGCAGAATAC